AACAGAGCAAACAAAAGGACCATTATAAAAGAAAAAACAGTACCCCCCATTCATGTCATCAAATAAGACTAGTTCAAAGCAAGAGAGGAAACGAAACTGGGACTTCTATCATCTTATACACACCGAGAAAGATTCCAGAGGGTACATGACATGTACCCAGGTACTTTGAAGTAGAATCCTATCTTTTGGAATTATGGCACATTCTCCTTCCATTAAAACCTCACTGTAGTGTGTGTGTGTGTGTTTACCAAGACTGAGAGAGCTCGTCTAGAAGATATTCTGGAAGCATCCTATATAAATCCTCTCACTCTCAAGTAAGTTCAGGCCACTATATGAAGTGAAAAGTTAAATGAATTGCTTTGCCAACTGATCAACTGTTCGTTAGGAAGGTTTGGGATTGGTGTCTTAGATTAGATAGAACTTGTTCTCAATACTTAGGATATCTAGAATGGATAGAGCTAATTCTTCAAGTAGTGATGAAGCAACGCAGATGTAAGAAGCAAGATTATCGTGGATTAAACCACAAGATCAAGTTCTTCACAATCTCCTCAGCTTACTGCTTTTAATACCACAGGGGGACATTTACAGCCTTCTTGGAGCCCAATGTCAATAAAGACAGACCACCTTAAAGAAAAATAGCATCATTTTAAAGACAGTGGTGCCTTAGACTGGTAGATAGTGATGCCTGGAACTGGGGTAGTAAAGCCCTGTTTTTATGGAAAAGGATGGGTCTGAGGTCATTCCATAAAATTGATTTCCCAGAAAATGGAAATAGGCAATTTACTCTAAGAATTTTATTGAAAAATTATGCTATTCTATTTGAATAATGATGGGAATGTTCTACACATTTCCTTTATTAATGAATTAAAATACACAAAACACCATAAAATTATATTAGAGGTTCAAAAGTATCACTTAAATCTTCTTTACCAGTCACTTTCATTTTGTAAAATCAGCAGTTCCATTAAAATCGTATTATGCAAAAATGGGTTTTTACTGTAATAATAGTTATTACCTATTTAGCTCCCAAGGATGTTGTGAAAATTAAATAATAAGCCTTTGGAAAGCAAATACAAAGTGTCGCTAATATCAGAGGCCAAGAGGGGCAGTCAGGTGGCAACGAGGAAGGGTAAGAGCACTCCTACACACCACAAATCACAGCCTTCACCTCCGATTCCATTACTACAAACAATTGAAGCAGTGGTCATGTGGGCTGATGAGATTTCATTTCATCTTCTTAATATTATGATATATTAATCTTAGCCCTCATGTTATATAGATGAGGGTCATTTACACAGTTGGTAAATGTCAGGAATCCAATAGGAAACCCAGGTTTGTCCTCTTTGATGGCTCACGTTATATGCACTGAGGAATTCCCCATTTTCCCCGCGTCTTATAATTGTGCTATGAATTCGTACCCCATCTTTCGCAGTTCATTTCACATATCTTTTCCTCCAAGACCCACTTTTCCTCTCTTCACTGAAGACAGTTGGCATCTAAGCACACTGCGTTTGTTGTAGTTTGAGATTATTATTATTCATTGTATGTTTTATTAACACAGCTAAATCAGGGGCAGCCTGAGAGTGAGTATAGCTTACTCACTTTCAGTGCCTAAATATGTGATACATAAACTCAGACACAAGGCAAAAGATTTTTACCAATGGGTCACTGTGATAGGCTCCCATCTAAGCAGTTCCTCTGTTGTTGGTTTTTTGTTTGTTTGTTTGTTTGTTTGTTTGTTTGTTTTTCATTTTTTGAGACAGGGCTTCTCTGTGTAGCTTTGGTGCCTGTCCTGGAACTTGCTCTATAGCCCAGGCTGGCCTCGAACTCACAGTGATCTGCCTGTCTCTGCCTCCTGGGTGCTGGGATTAAAGGCATGTGCCACCGCCGCTCAGTTTCTTCCTCTACTCCCCTCTGGTTTTCCAAGAGCAAATATGTCATACATCAAATTGGTTTGTTTATTTCAAGTTAAAGGAAAAATGTGAAGAATAAATATGAAAATAAAATTTTTGTGTAGACTGATTTTCATGAATCAAAGCAGGTGGATAAGGTAACTTTAAAAAGAGAGGGTGATGCAAAAAAGAAAGCTAGGTATGGGTCTTAATGGTAAAGTAATTGCCTAGAACATACAAGGCTCTGGGTTTGAATCCCAGTGAGTGATTGCGCACACACGTGCTTGTACGCATGAGTGCGTGTGTGTGTGTGTGCACATGTGTATGTATAAATGTGCATGTGTGTGTGCTGTATGTATATTCATATGTATAACTATCTTTATACATATGAATATAAGTGACATATGAGTGAGAGACAGAGAGGGGAGAGAGAAGGAGAGGGAGCAAGAAGAATATCCAGTGCTGGTTTCCTGCCTGACCGTCTTTACTCATTAACTGGGTACAATCAGAGTGGGTGACCTCACATTTCCATGTCCCAGATTCCTCATTTGTAAAAACATGGATAGGAACGGGATCTACTTACAAAGCAGGTATAAGAACCAAGTGAAAAAGTAGCCATAGGAGAGCATAGTCAGTAACACACCCCAAGTGCTGTTATCAGAAAATAAAATAATTCACATTTCTTAGGAATCTGTTCAAAAGGATAAGAAATAGTTTTCACAGATTTGTACAGTCTTGAAGTTGTCCTGTGCAAAACCTTTCAACCTCAGAGATTTGCTTTTGCTGTTCAATTACAGCTGACAGCATTAAGCTCATGTCCTTCATCCAAGTAGCAGATAATATCTAACTTGTGAACCCTCTTGAATCGAAGAAGTTTGGGAACTAGGAAAACAAAAGCAATCACGAAAGAGTGAAGAATTCAGACATAGGCAAATATACAGGGAAGTAGATTCATTATGAAGACCCATCAGAGGCCAGAATATCAAGAAGATTTGTCAAAAAAAAAAAAAATACAACACAGAAGCTCCTGTCCCAGACCCAACATTGAAAAACACAAATGGAGTTAACTGCTGGGCACGATGAGGCCATCTGCTGGAACAAGAGCAAGGAAACACAATGGGGAAAGAGCAAGGTTTTCATTACCTAATGCATGGCTCCTTTTTCTCACCTCTCTTTTTACTTGAATGCAAAATGTAACAAACAATAACTAGGGATGTTTTAAACCCCTTCCTCTTTCCTTCTCATAGTAACACAGCTGGTTGTATTAAAAGATACATTCTATATATCCTATACCCGCAGCTGAATTCCCAGCCCTCCTTTCCCTACAGCATAGATTTGCGTGTTTCCGAGCAGCTTCCTGAAGAACTCAGGCCTGTCATCTGAGCTGATGATGATCACAGGGATGAAGGGAAAAGGAAAACACCAAAGGCTCCCAGGCATCAGAGCAGACAGTCAACATAGCTTGCAACGCCAAGCAAGATAGTTGAGACTGCTGTTGTTTGTTCAGCATCAAAGCCCCAAAGATACTAGAAGCTTGGGAAGAACTTCCTGCATGGAGTGAGAGAAATTGTCAGCTTCATGGGAAAACCACAGACTGGGGCAAATCTACTGGCTAGATTAATCAAAGACAAGTCTGAAGAAGGAGAGATTTTTTTTCTTTGTAGTATAGGAATGACTCATAAGCCTATTTATTCAAAAAGTTCCATCCTCCATTGAAGACATAGGTGGATAATGGGGATGATGATATTTCAAGTTTGCATTTGACAGTACATTTGGCTTAGCATTCATCTTTCTATGCGGTTACAACACATCACTAAGGGCTTCCAAGGGACCAGAGTGCTTTGTCTGACTCTGACATTGTCAATAACATGAACAACATATCTACTCTATTATTACTTTTCTCTTTGTCCTTTTGGGAAGGAAACAAGCTCTGCCGCATAAAAATAAGGCACTAGAATCAAATTGTTTGGGTTCAAATCCACACTCTTCTGAATTATAAATTGTGCAACTCTGAGCTTGTATATTACTCAGCTGCCATGAATTTCTGTCTCTCTGTCTGTAAAATGAAGACAATAGCTTTATTTTATTTACAAGGTCCTTGTGAGGGTTAACAACATAGGCAAAGAATAGACCTGATACAGAGTTAGTGTTCAGTAAATCCGTGACATTATTAGTGAATCACAGATAGACAAGTGTTCTTTCCCCATTGCAGATCTTTTGTTTACTGTAACCTTGAGATATTCACATTTACCACAAATGGAATTAAGTTCCATGGTGCTCAATATAAATGTTCTAGTTACCTGGAACTTTAGTAGACTTTCCTTTAAGGAAAATGAATGTTTTAAATACAAATTGCTTTGGTGTATTTCTGAAATTATCTTTTTTCTACATCTATTCTCTTCCATTGATTCAAATCTTTTAAAACTAATAATAGTGTACAATATACAAAGGAATCAATTTCAGAAGTGAAGACAATCAACAGAACAGTAGAATTTTTGCCAACTATTTATATGTCAAAGAGTTAATATCTAGAATATATGTATAAAGAGAAAGAGTCTGAGATGTAGCTTAGTGGTAGAGTGCATGCATTGGATATATAAAGTCCTCAATTCAATCCCTAGGAACCAAACAAATAATTTAACTAACTAAACACCAAAAGAACAAATAATCTAGTCATTAAATAAACAGATGAATTTGATTGCTAGTTCTCAAAGAAGGAAGTACAAATCCAATACATACGTGAAAAGTACTCAATATTCTTAATCATAAAGAAAATGAAAATCAAAACTACACTGAAGAGTCCATCCTAGCAAAATGGCTACCAATAAGAAAACAAATGATGACAAACGCTGGCCAGGGGGGAAGGACCACTCACTCACTACTAGTGGGAATGCAAACTGATTCAACCACTATATGAAACAATATAAAGATTCCTCAAAAAATTTAGAAAGTTTCTCTCCTGTATCAACTTGCCTAAGGGGTCATAAAAATAAATAGCTACTCATTTCTACTGTTTCTCTGTCTTGCATTACACCATGAAATGTTACCGCTGATCGGATTTGGTTCAGTTCAGTTCATCTGTTTCCGCTCACAACTGGTTTCACTCACTGGGTAAAATCAAGACGTCATCACCAGGTCCTGGAAGGGTCTGGTTGTATCCTCCCCAGCCTTCTGCAACGTCCTTCCATGTTTCAGGAAGGGACCATTTTAAAGCTGATTCAGGTACAGATGTAGAAGCTGGAATATACAGGAGAGGTGCAAAGTTAACTATGAAAACCTAAATCTTTGTGACAAGGTCAAGCATCTATTGTTAATTTATGACTGGTATTTTCACCTTTCAAAGTAGCTGCTTTTGAATATTAGAAGTTTCTATAAATGTACCACATTTTCCTTATCCATTCTTTGGTTGAGGGGCATTTAGGTTGTTTCCAGGTTATGGCTATGGCAAACAATACTGCTATGAATATAATTGAGCACATGTCCTTGTGGTACAATTGAGCATCCTTTGTGTATATACCCAAAAGTGGCATTGCTGGGTTTTGAGGAAGATTGTTTCCTAATATTCGGAGAAATCACCATACTGATAATCCAAAGGTACATTTACACACTAGAGTACTATACAGCAGAAAAAGTAATGGCATCCATTTGTAGGCAAATGGATGGATCTAGAAAACATCATTTTGAGTGAGGTAACCCAGATCCAGAAAAACAAATATCATATGTACTCACTCATAAGTGGCTTTTAGACATAAAGAAAAAACAGCCTACAATTCACAATCCCAGAAAACCTAGACAACAATGAGGACCCTAAGATAAACATACATGGATCTAATCTACATGGGAAATAGAAAAAGACAATTATTCTACTGAATAAATTGGGAGCATGGGGACTATGGGAGAGGGTAGAATGGAAGGGGTGAGGAAGGAAGGGGAGCAGAGAAAAATGTATAGCTCAATAAGATCAATAAGAAAATTTTAAAAAGAAGTTTCTATAAAACATTTCATAGCAGGAAAGCAAACTATTACCCATTTCTTACACTTTGGGAAAATATATTCCAAGCTTATTAAACATTAGCATTCTTCTTCATTATAGATATTATATGTGCTTATTATGGATTATTTTGAAAATGCTAATAAAGAAAAGCTAATAATTACCCAGAACCTCACCACATAATAATTACCACAATCAACCTTTTATTTATATTTCTTCCCATCATATCTCAGTGTTATTATATAATTGAAATTATATCAGTTCCAGTTTTATTTTGTTAGTTTAGTTATTTTTCTTATGTACTTTCTAATGATATTAAAGCTCTTGGTAAACACAATTTTAACAATTACACAGTATCTATCATACTAGAATCCATTAGTCTCTCTCTGTAACATCCAACATGTAACATCTTTCTAATGATAAACAAAGTGATGTGGGTAGTCTCTCTGCACAGCTAACCATAATCCTGATTGTCTTTTTAAAATGGATTCTTTCTTGGAAAGGCCAAGTCATAGTATGAGCTTCTCACAGCTCCTGAAGTATAAGAATGGCACTCTTATGACATGGACACTTCTTGGGATAGTAACTTATGTGCAGATCATTTTTCTTTATTGATTCTGTCCCTGACCATTAGCATTCTAATGGTACCAAAATCATGTGACTGATAACCACTAACCACTTTACAAAGAGGCATTACGGAAATTGCCATGCTGAGCTGTATCCAGTCGCCTTTTTCTGCTTTTGTTGTTATTTTGCTCTTTTCCATGATATACCAGCACAATTAGGGGCCCAAAACATTGTCACAAAAAATAAAGATGCAAGGCCACCTCTTGACAGAATGAAGAGAATCTCTTCGATTAGTGATTAGTTTCACTGAGCATAAAAAAATGACCATCTTTTTTCAGGATGTTTCTAATAGGGGTGTAAATCCCAGATAAACTTAAAAAGCATTATCTTTGTTTCCATGCAGCTAAGGGTCTATGTTAGTAAATACTAGGGAGATAAAAAAAAAAAGCTTGCATAGATTGAGAACAGCTCTCTTTAAAGAGAACTTTCCTGAAGGAAGTAGTAACTGACCAGCATTTCAAAGACTTAAAGTTTCTGTAGGTAAAAGGCCCTTGTTCCAGATGGAGAAATGCGCAGAAGCGTATGCAAGGTCGAGAAGTGAGATGCTGAGAGGGAAATCAAAAGAAGCTTTGTGAGACAGAGTTAGAAAGAAGCAAAAGATGAGTCTGAAAAAATAAGGGGTGCCCAAAGAGTGAACTATTATGAAGGCAGAGAGGCAAAAGATTTCAAGACCGTTAGGGTAGATGTTGATGAGTTCTGTCAACTTCTAACCAACTGAGCAGATGGCAGGCATTTGGGATAAATTTGAGGTATCCGGTTGGAGGTGCATGGCAAAGAATAGATTCTGAAGGGAAAGAGATAACACCAAGAAAAAAAGGTGGGTATGGCTGTCATCCGCCATTAGATATCTTTCAGTCTTTGAAGATGAATGTAATATCACCAAAGATAGCAGCATGAGTAGACATAATCCCTGATGTCAGAAGCATAGGGAAAACCTGCCAGTTTTCCTATCAGTGCTCAAATCTGAAGCATTAATCGTTTAATTTGAGCTCCAGAATAGCTCAAAAGCATGCCCACTGTGGTCATGCAGAAGTTATAAACAATTAGCACATAAATATACCACACAGCCTGGGAATTAGGCACTTCTTAGAGCAGGCCTATCTTGGAAAGAAACTTTACAAATAGTTTATAAATACTAAAACTGCAGTGCCTTTCTATGCTTTGTCTTTATTGTGCCTCCTTCTCAATGGGGCTCAAACAGTCCAAAGGCTTAAGGGCATTTGCTGATATAACCACTAACTAGTATCACAGAGGCCAGGCAGGGTTTTTGATGTTCTCTATATAGTAATTTATCCTATAGTCAGTATCAAGGCTCTTCAAAACTTCACAAAGACCCAAATGAAAGAAAACAGAAAAACAGTTGCTTCAAATTTATATCACAGATGGTGGAAACAAACATTCTGCACCTCAGCCATCTTCACTCCAGTTTATAAAAGACCGGAATTATTTTCAGTCTAACCACCCAGACCTTACAGTGACTACATTAATGTTGAATGTTACATACAAGTTCCATTCTACCTTAGACCCTAATTCAGTTTCCTGATAGTTACTAGATTTCTATGTGGCTTCTATATGGCTCATATTGTGCTGAAAGTTGGGGAGAGAAAATGAACTCTGAGTTTTAAAAAAGAAGCCAGCCATATACTGCTATCTCTTCTTGGAATCTTATGCAATAGAATGAATCAAGATGAGATCTTGTTAATAGTAAAATTCTGTAAAAGAGAGTATATCTATTAAGTTTAGCAATCAGGGCATGTGTGATCAAGATGAGATGATCATCAGAGAAGCTTCTTCTAGTAGTAGATGGCAGTTAATATAGAGACTCACAAGTTCACAATGTGTAGAGAACAAGAAAATTTGGAGGAGTCCCCCGAAATTCGATGACTTTATGAAATCCCTCTCCACAAGCTCAGGAACCTATATGCAGAAAGATTGTAAGAGCCAAAAGTGATGGACAACTCCAAAGAGACAGCATCTTCTAGACACAATAGGACTGATAAACATATGAACTCACAGAGACTGTGAAAGCATGAACAAGACCCATTAGTTACAGGTTCAAACCAAATAAAATCTCAGCAGTGAAAAAAGGAAGTGGACACCTAGTTCCACCCCTTAACCAAGAAGCTCTTTGCAAATGATAAAGAGAAAATCAGTTTCCTACAATAGAATGTCACTGGGTGTATCAAACACACACACTTGGAAGTAGTTAGTCAACACAAAACAAACTCCATATTTGTGTATGTGAGTGTGTAAGTGTGTGTACATTTTTTGGTTGACATTGTTTTGGGACATTATGGCCTTTTGAGAGGGAAAAAGGAGAGAGTGAGGGTAATAAAGTTGAGTGGGTGGGGAGGATTTGAGAGGAATCGGGGAAGGAAAAGCATGATAAAACTATATTGTATGATGAAATTACAAAGAAAAAGGAGAGCCTTCCCAGTGCTGTGTTTGAGATAGAAACCATAATACAGAAGATTGAGGGGTGCACTGGAGGTAGAAGAAGAAGAGCTTACATTGGACCATCCAAAAACTCACTGCTTTTAGCAAAGGAGGGCATGAGCCTTTTCTCTTCTCCCAAACCTTCAGATCACCTTTGGTGAGGACCAACATTTATAACAAATGCTCGCCCTACTTCTCTATATGAATTTGTTAATCAGCAGCAACTCAAACTTGAGTGCTCTGAAGCTGAATATATCAGCCAAATATTGCCATCTACCCCTTCTCACTCCACTCCCCTCCTCCTGGATTTCTGTGGATCTGCTTTGAGAAAGCTAGTCTTTTAGGAAGCACCCGTGAAAACAGTTAAGAGGCAATTCATCACACATGGTATTGGGAGGAGGTTGGTTGGTTGATTCACACTGGTTTCTTGGCATGGTCCTAGAATTTTCCTGTCTACCATATCCTCACGATAACCTCCACAGTGTTGTTGTTGATTTATTTATTTATTTTTATATAACAGGCTGTCTATTAATGGATTAATGGAGAGACTCTTTGGAGCATATTCTCAAAAGTTTCAACTGCATTACTTACTCATATTGAAGCTTGCAATAGGCCAACACATAGGTAGAACTTCACTGCCTATGAAAAACTGGTGTTGAAAGTACAATAATTGCATTGTCTCCATAGATTGCACTGCCATATTTTAAATTCATGATTAAACTTTATATTCTTTATCATGGAATTCAAGGAACTCCCTGGAATTCTCCTGGCTGAAGTATTTTTCTGATGTATTGTTTCTGTGGTTTCATAGGCTTTGCAATACTTTTCTGCCCTAAGATATGTAAGAGAGGAAAACTGGCTATGATTTTCTTTCACATGTAGATTAATATATATATATCACAAATAACATAAGCATATGAGAGGCAACATGGTATAGCAAAAAATACAGCACTGAGATGAGATATGTGAGGGCTGAGACTCAACCACTGGATGCTGATATGACTATGTAAACTGTTTAATATCTAGGCATCACGTGTAGTCCCATATACAGTAAAGGACCCGAGCTCAAGACAGCCTTTCCAACCAATATGAACCTATGAAATATGGACTCTCCCAATTTTGTGGGATTTGAAGACAAGATTTTCCAAGAGAAAAAAAATGGTAATAGTTATTTAAAAGGGAATGTTAAATTAATTACTTTATCATTTATTTGACACCTGCCAGAATCAATGAGACATTATAAAGGTAAGAACCATTTTTATTGCTCATGGTTGTTACACACAGACACACACACACATACACACACACACCACACCACACCACACCACACCACAAAGAGATACCTTATAGAGAGGCAATCAATAAAGTGGGAATTTTGAGGCACCTAAAGGCAAAGGCGGAATGACAATGGAAGTTTATACAGAGTGAAGCACAACAGACACATGGAAGCCGCCGTGAAGTCAGTCTTAACTGCACTTACCGCAATATAAGAAGCAAGGACTGGTAGCCAAAAGTCCCTCTCTTAGCTTAGTGCAGTAACTCTACATCGTTTGTTTTTTAATTGAAATGGAAGAATTTGAACGTTTTTAATTAGTATGACTCTTCTGTGACATAACACAAATATCCCCCTGCAAATCAAAGGGAACCCCTGCCTTTGAAAGGCTTTATTCCTCCTGCAAATGCACAGTTAAACTGACTCACAATAAACAAAAACAAACTGAGACATACATTAAAAGGTGGTTATGAGATGTTTAGTCTTTGGGACTTTGGCTCTTTTGAGTTAGCAGGATCTCACAGAACCATCTGACTTTTGGGGAGCGTTTGTTTATCCTGATTTCCTGAAATTACCAGGAACAATTAAAGTTTAGAGATACCCTGGATTTTTTCTCTCCATTTGGAGGGGGCCTAATGGCCCATCTGCAGATCTGGAATCTTGCGTGCACATATGGCTCATAATTTATAAAATGTGCTTATTTACATGTTACAATTCTTACATCCTATTGTTTTGAAAAGCAAATGCATCCTATATCTTCCCTTGACATTCAGGAATATATTGAATTATAGGACAGCACAGCAGAGCGCTGTCAGGCTCAACAGCATGAGAGCTGATGCTTGCCTGTTCATAAACAAAGAAGAGGAGGGACCCGTAGAACGACGGGAGGACATTCTGTTCTGTTCGACATTCTCTCTAGTGTTTAGTACTTACCTGAAACAGTCGGAGGCACACCTTCCCTCACCTGGAGAAACACCTGAACTTGGCCTTCACCTGAAACTAAAAGAAAACAAAAAAAGGTGAGTGTGATGCCAAGATACCCCACGTAGAGGAGAATCACGGTGTTGCTTTTCCTTCTTCCCACCCAAAACAAAATCTGGAAATGAAAGAGGAGAAGAGTCCTTGTTAATTAGGAGAGTGCTTCGTTTCTACCATTCTATTTTGTTTGCATTGATCTGATTAAGTATAATGGCAGAGGGATAAGCAGTGAAGGAGGAAAACACTTGAGCATGCGCCCTGTGGAGGCCACTGAGGTCCAGCAGGTGTGCCTGGCTTCCTAGGTCCATAACTGTGTGGGCTCAGTTTGTAGCGTGCATGTATTGCTCACCGACAGAGTTGAGATCACCCATGAAATGTATTTGCTTTACCTTTCCCCAAACAAATTGTCCTTTTAATGAAGGTTTTCCCTCACCCTACTCCCCCTATCTGCTTTCTTCTTCCAAACCAACCAAGCACATTTAAAAGGCCCGGGGTTCATTAATTTTAAGTGTTCAATAAATTAGTGGAAATAATCAAAAGGCCTGATTCTTTCTGATAATGACAATTTGATGTCAGTATAAACCAGTAGATTAAGCTGGGAACATATGCTCCTTTGCCAAGAGAGGCTGCTATAATTAAATAGTAAATGCATCTACAAGGTGCTCCCATGCCTGATTAATTAGTAATCAGGTGCACGAACTCTATCTTTCGGGTAACACCTTGTTTCTTATTGGTTAATTACCTTTCTGCCTTATTCAATGTCATGGGAGCGAGCCCTTCCCATCACTGTAGGACCCAAGGTAGCTGCAGGCTGCAGCCTCGGGGGCTTGGCCAAACTCATGCTCTCCATTTCTGTTTCACTGGGACCCTAAACTCTTTCTTCCATCCCAGATGGGACAGAACAAATGTCATTCTTTTTAATTACAAAGCATACGCTTCAGAACATTAGAAGGAAAATAATCCCCAAAGAGATCCAAGATGAGGTCTCTCCAATTCTGCTACTCCCATTTTGCTCACTTTCTCATGTTTTTCAATTATAAAATACACGAGACTTGGCTTGCCCTTTATATCACCAAATCTAAGAGCAGGGACCTTGGCAACACTCCTTTTATGCGTATGTACATGTGTATACATATGCATGTATATGGGATGGGCAGTGCATTCATGATTGTGACACTTCTGTGTGAAAGGCAGAAAATAACCTCAGGTATTGGCCCTTGGGTATTGGTCTTTGGGTATTGGTTCTCAGGTGTTGGTCCTCAAATATTGATCTTTGAGAATTGATCCTCGGGTATTGATTTTTAGGTATAGGTCCTCAAGTATTGGTCATTGGGTGTCGGTCCTCTGGTGTTGGTCCTCAGGTATTGGTCCTTGTTTGATACAGAACATTCTCTTGGCTTTCTGCTGAATATGCTATGCTTTTGTAGAATTTTGTCTCTGCCTCCCGTCTTACCACAGAACACTGGGTAGAATTACACACATGCACTATGTATATGGAGTCTAATGATTTAAAGTCAGTCTTTAAGCTTGCATGGCCAGTGCTTTATCCACTGAGTTGTCTCCCTAAGCTAAACTGTTCTTTTCTATGATCATTTCTAAGATTGTCCTTAAACTATTATTTTCTTCTTGTATACTCTCTTATATCTCTCTTGCATATTCCCCTCTCTCTCTCTCTCTCTCTCTCCCTCTCTCTCTCTCTCTCTCTCTCTCCTCCCCATCTTCTGTTCTTTCTTCCCTAATTAATGTGGCAGGAGAGATAGTACATTGGTTAAAAGTACTAACTGCTCTTCCACAGGACCCCAGTGCAATTTCCATCACCCATGTTGGCCAATTGCCTATAACTCTAGCTCCAAAGGGTCTAATGCCCTCTTCTGGTCTACACAAGCATTGTACTCACCTACATAAACCCATACATAGGGCGCATACATATATCACATAATTACAAGTAAAATAAAAATAATTGCCATCACAGAACCTTCATCCAGCAACTGATTGAAGAAGATACAGAGATCCACAGCTAAGCACTGGGCGGAGCTTCTGGATACCAGTCGAAGAGAGTGAGGAGCAATAATATGAGCAAAGGGGTCAAGATAATGATGGGGATACCCACAGAAAGAGCTGATGTGAGCTAGTGGGAGCTCACTGACTCCAGGCTGATAGTGGGGGAACCAGCATAGAACCAAACTAGGCCCTCTGAATGCAGATGACAGTTGTATGGCTTTGGAAGTCTGTGGGGCCACTGGCAGTAGGACCAGGATTTATCCCTACTGATTGAACTAGCTTTTTGGAGCCCATTCTTTTTGGAGGGATACCTTTCTCAGACTAGATATAGGGTGGAGGGCCTTGGTCCTGCCTCAAAGTCATGTGTCAGACTTAGTTACAGAGTCCCCATGGGAAGCCTTACTCTCTCTGAAGAATGGATGGAGGTGGAGTAGGGGAAAGGTGGGGGAGTGGGAGGAGAGGAGGAAGTGGGAACTGGGATTGGTACGTAAAATGAGACGATTGTATTAAAAATAAACATATTAAAAAATAAATCACCAGTCAACCATCTCACCTTTTTCTTTAAGGTCTAACATTTCAGTTCTGTTTGCATGGTTCTGTGCCTTGCTAACATGAAAACCTGCGACTAGTTTCACACCACAATATTTATCTTGTTTGTTTTCAGTTCAATAACTAATAATGTCAAAGTAATTAGTAATTCAGGGTTGTAACAGTAACTAACATCATCTCTAAATTTTGTTTTGTTTTGCTTTGTTTTACAGTGTTGGGGAGCCACCCAAAGTCTCTTGCCTGCTGGGCAGGCACTGTACCTCTGAAGTACACTCAAACCCATAGTATTTAGTCCGGGGCTTCATTTTCTTAGGTAACGTCTGAGGTTGGACACTTCTGGGCATGTAAATTTTTATTTTCCTGGACTGAGTTACAAAACCCACATCCACAGTGTTCTAGTCTGGCTGCTCAGACTAAACAATTAAAAGGCATTCTGCTTACTCCCAAAGATGTGAAAGAATAGTCATTTGCATAGTCGTAGTGGTAATAATAATAATGTCAGTTTTCACTGGAATAAAAGGAAAGGAAAATACAGGCAAAAAAATATCCTTAGAAAACATGAAAATAATGGCAAAGATAAAATACCTTTCTGTAAGATTTGGCATTAAGTAGTACCACCTAGTCAATCTCTAAGAAAGACAAATTAGAAAGTATTCCAGGAAACATCTGAAAATGGAAATGAAATAATTTAAAGACGTTATGAAAGTCATTTTTATTCATGGTTTCCAGACAGCATAGACTTCAGCAGCATTGTACAAGTGTGGTCAGTGAATGCATTGTCTGTTTCTTATGACACAGCTAGAGATATGGAAAGTAGCAATAGGTACATATCAGAAGACTTTTAAAAAAAAACTTCACACACATTACACAATATCAAGCCCTCAAAAACTAAAGAACAATAGCTTAAGAGATAGAGTTGGAGGAATAAAAATAGTAATTACTCTCCACGTTAAATAGATAAAAAAATTAAAGTTAAAGAAAAAGCAATTCATGCACCCCAAAGACCTTGAATGAAAAAGGCCACCACTCATATCCACACCCTGTAGTTACCACAGGATGGTTAGTGCTGGGGTTGAAGAAGCTACCCGAAATACAAAGCACTTTAGAAATGATGCCTAGAGTGAGCAGTTGCTGACTCTGCACAGCCTCTATGCATCCCCTCCAGTGTGACCCCCTCTATGCATAACCTCCAGTGTGACCCCCTCTATGCATAACCTCCAGCGTGATCTCCTCTACGCATCCCCTCCAGTGTAATCCCCTACACACTCCCTCTAGTATATCCAGTGTCATTCCAAACCCAAACAAACACTGCAAAACTAAAAGTATACTGAAAACCTATTTTCCACTTTATTGCAGTGAAAGTGTCCCTCAGTTACAAGGGCAAAATTCAGAGGATCAGGGAAGACAGAGAAAAGCTATAAACAATAGGGAAGAAATCATCATAAGAGTATGGCTTCCCAAACTTCAATTTTGAACAAGTGGAGTGAGCTCTGGGTATGCACAAACGGCACGGATGACAAAACATTCTCAAACATTTCTGAGTCTGAAGAGGCAACAGAGGATGGTGGGGAATACATGGGTGCTGGACCCCAATAGCAGAGAACTGAATCCTGGCTCTTCCTCTTTCTACATAGGAACAACTAGCCATTTCTGACCCTCATTCCCATCACCAGAATATGGGGGTGGTGGTTGAAGGAGAAACTTGACGTGTTTTATAGAGTGAAGAAATATAACACAATGCATGGCACACAGGAAGCAAATATTAGCTGTTGTGGGCACCACTACCATGGCATCCTCATCATTCTTGGCACCTGTTAACAAGGCTCCAGAATTTGTTCTTCGCTAGTGTTGATCTTTCTCCAGCTGTATTCCATCAAGAGGAGCAACAGTATTACACGACTTAAGGAGATCTGTTTAATTTTACTGAATGTTTTAACTTCAAAAGACTGTAAATGTGAAGTGCCGTTCCTAATTTGAATAAAGAGAAGGAGGGATGAAAACCATTAAATAGAATGGGTACTGACTCGGGAAGAGTTTAAAGGCTTTATCCAAGCTGTGATATTGTGCACATGTTTTCTCTGAGATTGTGATTTCCAATTTTGTATTTGAAATATGAGGGTGGCTAATCATTTTTGTTTATAAGGGAAGCCCCATTGTTGATCTTTCCCAGACTGTAGGAAGTGGTTCTCAGAAACAGTGTTCGGGTCACTGGGTGTCAAACTATTCTGGTAAATGCTATATGATATAAGTAAGCCTGCTATAAACAGAGACATCTAAGAGAGAAACAGACATTTTTTTTAAAGAAAGTGACTCCTGAAAAGAGAAAAATAAGACAGTTATGCAGATATACAGGAGGTGTATAAGTTGTGCCTGGTGAATGTTGTCCTGTCCAGAGTCCTAGAAAAGAGGGGAGGGAGTATTCCCCACTCTTCCCTTAAGCAAGCCTAAGGCATTTTTGAAGTTTTGGAAGG